AGATAGTCAAGATGTTGGTGGTTAAGGATGAAGACCGCTTTGGTCTGCTGGAGCAGAATGCCACTGTTATTTTGTCGACCAAACTTGGCACAGTGATGGAGGATTTTAAGTGAGATCACAAAGCTTTTCAAGATATTTGTGATCTCACTGTGGGCAAAGCTCTTGAAGAGTAAGTTTGGTTACAAATGTTCCAGTTTGTATGTGTCCACGATCAACTTAAGTCTTCTTCAAGGAGGGAAAGGAGGAAATTCACTGCAAATTATGTTGTACGATATCTTTTTGACACTATTGTAATCAGGAGAGTCGTCGTTGGTCTTAAAACATATAAATTTATTCAAAAATTTTTCTTCTGCGAATTTTCCCGGAAATGTTGATTTTAACTTAAAAGGAAACAATTATCTGAACTAGTTTCGATAACTGTTTTGCTGGCTCCTCAAAATTAACAGGCTGTTATCAAGAAACAAGGATAATACTATACTTACTGCATTTGTTGATTTGTTCAGTCATTTACTTACCTGTTTGATCATTAATTTTATTTTAAGTTACATGAGATCAGAGTACGGTAACATGTTTGAGACCCATTAGTGCCGACCACACCATTTATGGTCACACATGAAGTGCTGGTTATGAGCTTCCTGCTCGGATGCTTCATGGTCATGCTGTGGCCATTGGGATGGGCTTCGGCGCATATCTCTCCTTCTGTAACGGCTGGATCCCACAGCACGAGTTCCATCGGATTTTAAGGTTCCTCAGCGACCTTGAGCTGTCCTTGTCGCATCCCATCATGGAGGATACACAGCTGGTCTACAGAGGGCAGAAAACTATGATCCAAAAGCGCTGGTAACCTTGCTGCACCAGTACCCAGAGGGCTTGGAAAATGCGGCTTGTTACGGTAATATCCAAGCCGCCAGAAAGGTACAACTCGTACAACCCAACTACTCTACTGACTGACATAATAGGGTTACGGAGCGATACCAATAACTAGTATAATAACTACCCTCTTCACTTAGCTACAGAGCGATATTAATACCAATACAATAACTATCCTCGTAACTTAGAGCCCTCCATAAATATTATAACTTCAATCTCAGCGCATACATACATACATACATACATCCTTTATTTGGTAAAGCAGGTTGAGGAAATGGCAGCTAATGCTGATGTGAACCTGCTATCTACTAATAAACAGCTAAAAATATATACGTCTCCTAGTATGAATAATCATACGTATCAATAATACATTATATATACGGGTAGGATAAGTAAGTAAATATATATATATATATATATATAT